AACTTAAAAGAAGTTGGGACCTTTTGTTCTTCCCGAAAACTCTTTTTATACTTGTTACTAAATATTATTAACATTGCATTTATATACTCGATGGCCTACATGTCCGTGTGTCTGTAATATATCCGATCATTACATTTGGTCTTTCAAGTTATGAAACCTTGTACTTTGATGGATGGTAACCAAGGGGTCAGAGAAACCTGCCATTTGCTTCTTCAGGGCAGAAGAGACATTAAACTGCTATCTAGAATATTCATCTCCGTAATTAAACAGAGGGTGGAAAGAGCGTGAATAAACAGGCAGAACAGCGGACGTGCGAAAAACACAAAAATTTCTCTAAATCGTTGTCCAGAAGCAGAAACTACTAAATGTAAAAAAAGAAGATATCCTTGTGTCTAGCTGAGCACTACAATAAGAAGATATATGGATGAGTGGATTTATATATCCACGTTTTCTTGGCCTCGGCATTAGCTGTTATGTGAGTGGTCAGGTGCATGTACCAGCGGCTTTATCCACAGAGAAAGGGTCCCCGGTACCCATTGGATAGGAGGCTGAGTGGGACCCACAGCCGGCCTGGATGACGTGAAGAAGAGAAAATTCTTTGCCCTACCGCGACTCCAAATCCGACCCCTCGGAAGAAGAAACTCCTAAATAAGGTAAAGTGGGTGCAAACAGAATTATTGGAAAGAAAGGGCGTAGAAACCTCGACTGCACTCTTTATCGCTGATAACTCTCTGCCACGCCTTCCCGGCGATCCATAACTGAAAAGTGCGCCAAGAAGCACTGCATTAGTGTTAGCGAGGAGGTCGTGACGTGTGTAGAATGCAAACTCAAACAGAGGCTTATAAACTCCAGGCAGAAAGATTCAAATGCATCTCTTCAGGATTCCTAATATTGAGCTCGATTGCTCAGACGGTAAAACTTCTCATTGGTGGTGGGAAGTTCCCGGCTCGATTCCCGGCGGGACACCGACTCTCTTGATTGAAGATTTTCAAGGTTGTCCCCATTCTCTACCGGTAAATGCAGGAATACCTTGAAACTAGGCCACAATCTCTGCATTCAATGTCCTTTACAATTAATTGTTCGCTATTAACTGAGCACTCTATGCTATGTTTCAGTTATTGACACCATCGTTAAATAAATAATGGTAAATTGAAGTTGCCCATCACAGTAGTCGAGCGGGCAGAGGTAGGCCGCACACCGACATGCGTCAAGTCATGTAAGAACCAAGACACGATGTCTGAGACATGACGCAAAAAAGAAGCACAGCCGAAACGAATGAGATTATGAAAACCGCTGCACACCGGTCTGCGTCATGATGCTGACGTCAGGTTCATGCTGACGAATCACGAATGAAGCAAGACTGCGTATTTTATCTCATGTCTTGACGCAGTTGGTGTGCGGCCCCCTTAAGGCATGCACTGACTTCGGTCGCTCGGAAGCCGGGATCGTGGGGTTCGGATCCCACTCAGGGCATGGCTATTTGATGTTTGTGTGTGTGTCTGTGTGCGTGCGCGCATTTTTCTGTGTTTCTGTACAGGCAGAGGCCTTGCAACGAGCTAATCACACGCCCAAGGAGTCCTACCGAATGCCTAAGATCTAGTAAACTGAAGTGAAACGGAGAGTTTCATGGAGGTAAGCCAAGGCCCAAATTGGGACTATAGCGCCAAAGGAAGAAAAAGGTAACGTTGTCCTTGTGCTTAACTAATTAAGCACTATGCCATAACGGCTTATCGGGGAGTGGATGTATACACCCATGTTTTCTTGACCTCGGCACTCGTTGGAGGTGAATGGTCAGCTTCACGCCCCCGCGCCTTACCACGGGAGAAAGAACCCCCGGCATTCATTGGCTGGGTGGGCCCCAGAGCCGGTCGGGACGTAGTGGAGAAGAGAAAACTCTTGACCCAACCGGGACTCGAACTCCGACCCTGGATCATCCAGCCCTTAGCAAATCGCTATACTGACCACTCTATTCCGGTCCCCAAATATTTTTTTTTCTGTGGCGCTATAGCCCCAATTTGGGCCTAGGCCTACCTCCATGAAACTCTCCCTTTCACTTCGGTTTACTAGATCTTACACATTCGGTAGGACTGCTTGGGCGAGAGATTAGCTCGTCGCAAGGCTTCTACCTGTAGACAAACACAGAAAAACGCACACAAATATCCATGCCCCGAGTGGGATTCGAACACACGGTCCCGGCTTCCAAGCGAGCGAAGACAGTGCATGCCTTAGACCGCTCGGCTACCGTGACCGGCCCCAAATAAATACCCACAGTAATTTTTATTTTGTTCTTAACGAGACTTGCCTCAAGCCTGATCAGATTTTATAGCCACCAAAAATAATGAGGATGGGCAGAGCAAGGAGCACGAGATGAACAAATATGTAACACCCAAAGCTGTAAGAAATTCACTGAATAACCCATTCGAAATATCTGACGGGAGGGGATTTAGTGAGACATCTTAGTCCTAGACACCATTACATTACTATAAAGAATATTTTATATTGTATGAGAGTGTAGATTGGATTCAACTGACTTCATTATATTAGATTATATCCATTTGCAAAAATGTTTTGTTGTTGCAATAGCAGAATTGTGCCTGTATTTTGCTGGTCATACTTAGAGACATATAAACTTGCCTTAGCTTCTTGGCTTCCAAATTCTCTAATATGTATAACAAATTATTCAAAAGAATTATAAAATCCGGTATTTATACGTCCCATCAAAATAACTGCCATCTGAAATATGAAATAATAGGATATAAAGAACTGTTCAACATTATTGTTTTTCGCATACTGTTTCTGCAACGAGAACACTTATTTAATTTTGCAGTTACAGTTCGTTCTTACCATAAACCTGACATCAGAACTTGCCAGCGTAACTACTGATTCACTGAAGCATCTTTTATTATCTGATCAGTCTGTAGACTCGCAACATACACTTAAAACGAGTTATTACATAATTTTCGCTGATCAAGACGTTAAGATGTCTAATACAACCCTCTGTTATCTTCAACTCATACCTTAATACGTCTTAATAATGGAAGGGCCGCGCCATATCTCAAGCGGTTAGTCGCTGGCTTCACACAGCGGCGGCCCGGGTTCGATCCCAGGTCTGGTCAAGTGGGATTTGTGGTGGACAAAGTGGCGCTGGGACAGGTTTTCTCCGAGTACTTCAGTTTCCCCTGCCAATCTTCATTCCACCAATTGCTCCACAATCACCCTCACCTATCATCTGGGGCTGGTACAATAGGCCAGAAGTGGCCGCAGTACAAGGAACTTAGTCCCACCCCACTAGCAATAAAACATAATGGAAGAAATCTGAGACGACTAACGTTCCTGAAACGATTTTAAATAACCGAGTAACAAATTACCTTTCTACATAATATTATCGTAACAGTGTTCTGGTTACATGTTGTCCTTATTCTGCCGAAAGGTGGATTTAGCAACAATAGTCTCTCTAGCGCCAACTGACGTCTTCAGGTAAAATGCTTATTTAGAAGTGATGTTAGAGACCCGCATTTGAAATATTTCCATTATTGGATATTTTTATTGGATTGTGAAAACATGAAGCGATGCCACTCCTGTTTCATAAAGGAAATGTAAAAATATAATCATATGAGAGCCAGATGATGATGGCATGTAAATTTCTAATTGTTGCTATCAAAATATGATACGGTGTTTTGTTTAATAAGGGTGTTATTTATCATTGGCTACAATAACTTGGCACTTATGATGCAAGGTTTATTAAATAGTGCCTGTTATTCCCAGGTTATAACCATAAATATGAACCACATACAAAAGCCAAATTTAATGTACGTGTATGTATATCTACATTTCATGTTAACGAACTTGCATGGTATTTAAACCTGCACTCATAACCTGGAATATGTATCGCAATAAAGTGAGATATTTTACGAGTTACAAAATATCAGAAACTATAAATGTTCGCACAAATACTGAATGCAGGAGACAATATGTATTCATGAGACGATGAAATACTTAAATATATAGTCCCTTATAATCATAATTATCATTATGATTACTTCCGTACTTCATGAAGACGCAACAAATACGTAGAAATGCACTTGTCCGTGGTAGGTATTTAAAATATGAATTATTCATGTAATTGCTTATAAATAGCTACAACAGGAATCTCTGAAAAGTAACATCAATCACACAAGATATAATTATAAGTGGACTAGAGATTTAGATACGCGAATTATTTAAGATAAATAAGAGACTGTCCAAAATTATACATATATAAATACATTTTTGTAACGATCAATAACACTTAAAACTAAGATCAAATACCCTTTCCACACTCCTTTCCATAAGATATATATATATATATATATATAAACTAAGTTATATCATGGGCCGCGCCACAGCTCAAGCGGTTAGTCACTGGCTTCCCACCGAGGCGGCCCTGGTTCGATCCCGGGTCTGGTCAAGTGGGATTTGTGGTGGACAAAGTGACGCTGGGGTAGGTTTTCTCCGAGTACTTCGGTTTCCCCTGCCAATCTTCATTCCACCAATTACTCCACAATCACCCTCACCTATCATCTGGGGCTGGTACAACAGGCCAGAAGTGGCCGCAGTATGGGATGGGACTTAGTCCCATCCCACTTGTAATAAAAAAAATATATCACTGTCATTGTTGTAAATTTTATATAGTTGCATTAATTACGTCTAGAAATATGTGTGCAAAGTCTTCTGGCTCACAATTAATACAGACGTAATAAATATTGAGTTTACCAGTTGGGTAATCAGACTAGCAGAAAGTACAGGACATTGAACTCAAATGGAAACAAACAACTCTACGTTACAGTTTGTGCCGTATTCTCATTAATACTGCATAACCTTCTTCTCGAAACAAAACTGAGTGCACTAGTTTAGTCCTACTATTTAAAACAATGTGAAGATACTACACAACTATGCTTTAGTCTTTAATTGTGTCTGTTATGAAACTTTTAATTACAAACTACAACACCTGTCATATTTACATTTTACGTTGGATTGTTCTTGAACGTGCAGTTCTTCTATGAAACCTGGGGCGATTTTTGAAGAGCTTTTATTGAGTATGTGTTGAAAGTTGTGTTTGTCGGGGGGGTGTGCGGTGAAAGCAAATAAACAAGGCCACACGACACTACACGACACGACTTCGGAAGGCTTTCGTGATTCTTATTGCATCTTTGGTAATATGAATTGATTTTTATACAGCCAGCTCGAACACTGCCACTAGCTCACGGTCGCAGCTTACAAAAGTTCAGGGGAAACAAAATACGACTATGAGACGCACTCTACATTTAATTACTACTGAAACCTGAAACTCTAAATCACATTTAACTGTTATTGGATTTTCGTCCTTTTAAACTGAAGTTTACACTACACTAACAGATGTCTGTTTATTCTGACATAACCTATATCTTTCTAAGTAACAGAAAAAAATTATACTGTAATTAATCACTTAGGATATTTATTCTCTGTAATGATTTAACCCGTATATTTCGAAAGCACGTATTTGTGTATGGTATATACGGAACGTTTTTTTATTTTTAATTAGGACTCAATTTATCACTGCTCACGTGCTAGTTTGTAAAAGAGAATTAATAGTCAAACTCGAATACGTACGAATTTCCGAACCACGGGAATATATTTGTTCCTTTACGTCTTCCAAATTTCAAAACATATCGGTCCTTAACTGAATAGAAAACACTTTATTTGTCACGAGAGTATTTTCTGTTGTGGTGCGATCCGTACAAAAGTGTTTACCCACGGTATGAAGACACATACACAGAAAATAAGCACTTGTAACACTTATAAACACTTGCGACGAGACAGCGCGAAACACGAAAAGGAAGAAGCGGTTAGGTTACGTATGGCACAAGTGAAGCTCCAAGAGGAGGTCCGGGGTTTGTGGCCGGATTAGGGCAGGACCGGTACGGTCGACCATGAAGCGGGACTAGCAGGGGGAGGGGAAGAGGAGTCTTCTCTGCGCCGGCCTGCGGCCCCACATTGCAAAGAGCCTTCCGACGCCGGGCCAACAAACTCCTGCGCAATAGCGCGTACTGTCGTTCCCATGATGCAACTAAAACGGACAGACAGACAAGGTAAAGCGTCTTGATGGTAATCTTCCTAACATTTATTACATACAAGTACACGCTTGCTGACTGTTCCATTCTTTCATTAAATGAACATAGACGATCAAAGGCAAAACATGTCAGTTATACGAGACGTCGGGACTCAGAGCGTGAAGTTGACAGCTGTTGCTGTGAATTATACATTGTTTCTGCTGTCAGGGGCAACGTAAAAGAGTGCAAGAAGAACCTACACTTCATATGCATGTCTAACAGTGGGTCTAGACAGGTTCCCCGCAGGTTCTCATGGCTCTCCTCTTATTTACCTCTCCATTACAACCAGCGTTTATCCATTAATAAAGAAAATACAGAGGTAGACTGAAGGATACTATTAAAAACAACCTTATATGTTTATGTTGGAGGGTATAGACAATTCATCTGACACATTATAGGAATAAGTCGCGGGGCTGTTGTGTACACGGTAAGAAATCTTCTTGTTCCATAAAAAGCGGGGAGTTTCTTAAGTAACTGAGCAACTACCAGCTCCTTGAGAAGGAGTTCCTTATAATATATGTCTAATGTCTGAAAATACGAGGGTAAGTCAATAAGTAAGTTACAAAAGGATATAGAACTTAAATAAGAGTACTGATTTGAAAAATGCTTTTATTTATCAACATAATCTCCCTGTACATTGAGGCACTTGTCCCATCGTTTCACAAGCCCCTGAAAACCAGCAGCATAAAATTCTTTGGGCTGCTGTCGGAACCAGGCGGTGACTTCCCTACAGAATGGTAACTATAGACACTATAGCTGCTGCTATTGGTTGTTCACACAGCGTGGCCTACCTCATAATGCATGACAGGTTAGGTTTTCACAAAGTCTGTGCGCGATGGGTGCCTCGCATGCTGACCCCATAACAAAAATGCAAAGAATGGGTCTGGTATTACACCATCTCAATCGCTACCATGATGAAGGACACGATATGCTAGCCCGAATTGTCACAGGTGATGAGTCTTGGATTGACCATTACCAGCCCCAGACAAAGCGTGTGTCAATGCAGTGGAAACATCCTGCGTCGCCTGCCAAAAAAAAAAAAGTTTAAGGTGACACCATCCTTCAGGAAAGTGATGCTCACAGTCTTCTGGGATCACGAAGGCATACTGCTCACCGCATTCCAGCCTCAAGGACAAACCGTAAATGCCGACTCCTACTGTAACATCCTCAGGAAACTTCGTAAGGCCATTCAACGGAAGCATGCAACCCGTCATGCATTGTGAGGTAGGCCATGCCGTGTGAACTCGCCTGGTTCCGAGAGCAGCCCAAAGAATGTTATGCTCCTGGTTTTCAGGGGCTTCTGAAACGATGAGACAAGTGCCTCAATGTACAGGGAGATTATGTTGAGAAAAAAAGGCATTTTTCAAATCAGTACTCTTATTTGTTTGTTCTATATCCATTTGTATCTTACTTATTGACTTACATACGTATTATACACATATCACTAAGTTTCAAGAAAATTTTCCATTGTTAAACTAACAATTAAGGCTTTAGTGCAGTCCCAGTTTATATAGAATAAATTTTATGTGTTGGGTATCTCCAAAGTGGTATTTCAAGTATGAGTCATCACTCATGGAGCTGAGCCCTTCTTGAGAAGCTGCCAATTGTGCAACTATTCAAGAACTTCCCAGGATTTTATGGAACCTGAAGGTTTATTACCGTGTCCACAAGAGCCATCCACCGGTCCCAATCCTGAGCCAGTTCAATCCAATCTATACCATCCCACCTTATCTCTCTAAGATCAATTTTAATATTGTCCACCCAACTACGTTTTGGTTTTCCCAGTCATTTTCCTTCTAGCTTTACGACCAATATCCTATACGCATTCCTTTCTCCCCATTCGTGCTACATACCCTGCCCAGCTGATCTTCCTTGACTTGATCATTCTAATTATGCTTGGGGAAGAGTACAAGTTATGAAGCTACCAATTATGCAGTTTTTTTCAAATACGAATTTCGTATTTAGATTTTTGTATGGATGTATTAATTACTTCTAAAGCAGAAATTCTTGAATGAATATTACTTGATTTTCTGTCCCTTCCAGAGAAGTCTAATCTATGCTAATGTAGTCTGTATTCCAAAAACTTCCTTATTTCACAAGTTTTTAGTCTTGAAATTCTAATTATACTTTTTTCTTTGTAACTTAATTTTAACTTGTGATGAAACCTATAATTATATCCCTTTTTCCCTTTATGTCTTCTCCAGTTTCGTTCATTAACATATTAAACAAAGTGATAAGGCCAAAAATACAATAAATAACTCATTAGTCCCTAAGATGGAAACTCAAAATATAATTATTAGGAAAGTAATGAGTTTTACAGAAATTTGAGTTCAATAACGCGAATAACAGAAAACTGAGCCCAACAAACAAAAATAAAACAAGATGAAATTGAGGCAACCAAATTATCTGAATGTTTAAGTGACACACTTTATGAAATAAAAAAAGTACATGGAGACCCGAGAATGTTCTCAGGTCCACTCTGGCCTAAGCTACTGGAACAAAAGAATATAGCACAGAAACAAAGCGACAATAAGTAAAATTGGGAATAAACATGTGAGAAGCCGTGACGTCAGGAGCATATGGGGTACGGTGTCCAAGAAACAGGAGAATCAGTGAAGAAAGGAAAGGCAAGAAGAATCTAGCAGATTGAGCAAACAGGCGACAGAGCTTCTAAAGGGGAACGAATCTTGGAAGAGCACATAAGTGTTGGCGGGTTCCAACTCTGATGAAAAGAGCATAGGAGAAAACATTTTACTTAATACACATTTCGTCGGCGTAAATGTGTCAATATAATCTTCAAAATTCGCATCACAGCAATGCCTGTAACTGTTTTCTTAGAGACTGCTTTTTATTTATAATGTGGAAACTACTTAATGATCTCTGTACCAGATTTCACCAGCTCCTTCCAATGCTTCATTAGTAAACACATGAAACTGAAAGATAAAGAAATTTTACGCACGGCCACACATGTTGTTATTTTACAGTCTTCAAAATAGTTACCACAATGAAAGTTACATAACTTACTTTGGATCTATTATCAAATATCATTTCAGAATTCTAAATTAATTGGAGCTAATGTGACTATCGCCGGTCACGGTAGCTGAGCGGTCTAAGGCATGCACTGTCTTCGCTCGCTTGGAAACCGGGATCGTGGGTTCGAATCCCACTCAGAGCATGGATGTTTAGTTTGTGTGTGTGCGTTTTTCTGTGTTTGTGTACAGGTAGAGGCCTTGCGACGAGCTGATCACCCGGCCAAGGAGTCCTACCGAATGTGCAAGATCTAGAAAAACCGAAAGTGAACGGAGAAATTCATGGAGGTAGGCCTAGGCCCACTGGGGCTGTAGTGCCAAGGGAAAAAAATGTGACTATCACTTCACCAGTTTGCGCGTCATCTATATTGTTAATATTCATTGTAGGGAATTGAAATTTTCAACACTGGTGGAGCTTCCAATGCCATATACCATATATTTCGTGAAAATGCGTCAATTTTCTCAAAAAATGATATGCGTAAACAAACACAGACATTTGATTTGTTTCATTCTGGTCTGTCATACTAATGTTATGAAAAAGTTAAATAGTTCAGTTCAGATTTTATTATTTAAATTATTCATGCCCTTACATGTTTCGGTCTTCAGAGACCATCTTCAGAGGGACCTCTTTACATCAGTACAG